CCTATTAACATCTTTAATATAAAGATGTTAATAGTTTGCATATTTTATATATTCTTAGATTTTTAAATATTTATTTTTAATTTAAGTATTTAAATTTTAAAGCTGTTTTGCTTAATTGGGTTTCTTATGTTCCGTCAAGTGCAGTAAAGGGTAGATTGCCTAGGCGGCCTTGTTCTGTAGCTGAGCTGACGCAGATGCTTAGCTTGCTTGGCTGCTTCACTCCATTGCGTTTGTCACTAAGGCCAGATCCTCCACAGCTGTGTACGTGGCAAGCTGCTGGCCTGCATCAAATTCCACTGAGTGGATGTCTCTGCCAGTTGGGCCCTCTTGGGACCATGGAATATGGCCAGTGGTTGGGGATTAAAGAGAGGGTGTGGCTGGGGCTGATTTGAGAATCTTTGACTTGCCATAAGTCTGATTCAGTGTATACATCTCTAGACTTACACACTTAGTTGAAAAACTGAACTAAAAACTGAACTGCTTAATTTTAACTGAGATTTGTGACTAAATTTTAGTGTGTGAGCTATAAGGTAAAGGTAAAGGTTCCCCTTGACAATTTTTGTCCAGTCGTGTCCGACTCTAGGGGGCGGCGCTCATCCCGCTCTTCAAGCCATAGAGCCAACGTTTTGTCCGAAGACAATCTTTCCGTGGTCACATGGCCAGTGTGATTTAGGCACGGAACGCTGTTTACCTTCCCACCGAGATGGTCCCTATTTATCTACTCGCATTTGCATGCTTTCGAACCGCTAGGTTGGCGGGAGCTGGGACAAGCGATGGGTGCTCATTCCGTTGCGTGGATTCGATCTTACGACTGCCGAATCTTCTGACCCTGTAGCACAGGCTTCTGCAGTTTAGCCCACAGCGCCACGCTATGCTTATAGACAAAGTTGCTAGGTCAGCAACATCCCATTGCCCCTTGATTTCAAGATAGAAGTACAATATGAAAACTAGAAATAGACCCTTGTGATGTCACAAAGGGACTCGGACAGGCCTCCCCCACAAAAAAAAATCCTGCAAAATGGCTTGTTCAATATAAAGAAACAATGTGGAGGCTTGAAAATGAATTAGAAGCCCAGTGTGCTAATTTTGGTTGCAGCAATAGCTTGATCATTCTATTATAGTAAAAAAGGCAGAGGTACTCCAGTGGTTCTTAACCTTTGTTACTCGGATGTTTTTGAACTGCAACTCCCAGAAACCCCAGCCAGCACAGTTGGTGGTGAAGGCTTCTGGGAGTTGCAGTCCAAAACTCCTGAGTAACCCAAGATTAAGAACCAGTGCTTCAGACCATCTAAAAGCTAAATAGCATCTTCTGACACCATGTGAATGATCTTCAAAATTTAGGGTTGCCAGTTTTGCATCATCACATTCCATTTCAGTTCCATTATATGGAATGTGATGGTGCCAAACTGGAAACCCTACCAATTTTTATATAACAGAAATATCCCCCCCCAAAATGGCGGCATGATGATCTTCTGAAATGAGATGTCCCCCATATTTTTCAAAACATAAACCTTCTGATATTTAACTCCCTTTGTTGTTTCCTTCTTTCTGTTTCACCAGATCATTAATAAACAGTTACTGGTAGTTAAATAGGCACCACATCCTTCTCCTTGTAAGGATACGTCCTACATGCTTAACTTTGTAGTACTTTTGTTTGTGTGTTATGGTACCATGAAGTCACAGCTGACTTACAATTTTCACTGAATTAATGAATTTAGCAATGTGATTTGTATGCTGCAAAGCCTTGCCATTTGCTCTATCATGTCCAGACCATTCTGCAAAGTGAAACAGGGAAGAGGATTTGCTCTATCATGTCCAGACTTGTGAGTTGTGACCATTCTGCAAAGTGAAACAGGGAAGAGCCTATGAAAAGCCAGCCATTATTTAAGGAGGTACTGCTAACATTGTGTCTTGAGCTAGGGAAACTTTTGCTTATGAAAGTACAGTACAAATTAATAACTGAAAAAAGGGGTTGCAGGAAATGGCATAGTCGTTACTTGATAGCTTATGGCGGTTAATCAGACAAGTCTTTAGAATGTACTGTAGAACAGGGATTTCAAATACTGTAGTGGATTATATGTTTCTTGATGAGTTGCATGAGGGATTTTTAAAAAATCCCTTCCCTTTCTGAGTGCCCCTATCGCTTCGTAAGCAGCATTGTGTTCACTTCTTTAACACTTGACATTTCATACTTTGGATCACAGATTACCTAGTTTACAACAGCAAGTACATAACATGATTAGAATAACAGTGACCTTGTACTCCTTCCTTTATGCTACTCTAGGCTTTCCCTAGAAATACCCAGAGATCAAGGTGGAAAGTTCCAAGTGAGCACTTTACCTTTCTAAAGGCTGAAGATGAACTGAGAACTTGCACATTATTGCACATGTGAATTGCAACCATATACCACTGTATCTTAAAGCTGGGCATAAATATTTGACTGAGTGAACTCTGTATTTTACCTCATACATCTGAAGAAGTGAACTTGCTCACAAAAGCTCATATTAAAATATAACAGTCTTTAAGGTGCCACAAAATGTTTGTCTTCTTAATTTTTCCCCCTTTAGGTTTTGCCTGATATGCTTGCACAGAATAACATGCTACGTTTTCAGAAACGGAGAACTTGTGAACTCCTTTAAGTTTACACCTTCCAAGATTCACTGCCCCTTGTCAGAAGAGTTCCTTCTTATGTGAAGTCCCTTGGTCTGCAGGTAAATGCTTCTCTTCCTTTCTGTGATTTCAGTCCTCAGGTACTGAGGAGGTAGGGTGAAAGAGGAGATGCTTAAATGAAAAACAGGGTGTAAGCTCAGGTTCTGCAAGCTAATGGACACTAGCCTTTGTTCAGGATCAGAAATCTAGCCCAGTTCCTTCAGCTGGGCTCTTGGATTTAACTGGCTCCTCTATCAGTGACTACTAAATTTCAGGCCACAATGGTTTATTTTGCTGTTTACATTCATATGCGATGTAAGCTACTGATTGCAATTTATTTCACATTTAGAATTTAGAATTCACATTTGTTGGGGCCAGACCTGTCCTGTTTATGGATGTCTGCAAAATGTAGAAAGCCAGCCCAGTTTTCAAAAAACAAGTATGAGAAAAATTAATAAGGGCATAGTGAAACCAACAGAGAGCATTAAGTTTTATGTTTTCTGCATAAATAGAAAGGTCCAAAAGTTCACAGTGACATCTGTCTTCAGCCAATCCCAGAATGAACTCAGCCAGATGGTGCATTTGTACTGGCTGGTGCCACCTAGTGCCACTCTAATAACTCTTGTTACCAAGTAGTCTATCTATACTGTACTACCACACTATGGAGAAAACAGAATCTTTGGGTAGCCCAATTTTCATACAATCAACTGTTTCCCTTAAATTCTTTGTCCATATGTGTATAAGATTCTTTACCTTTTGCGTAACTACAGTGTCACAGAACTGCTACATTATTGTAGGATCTGGCATATTCATCTGGCTTCTGCACTGTGAATAACTTCTCAGCTTTCAGCTTCTTAATTATAAATTCTTCCCTGTTAAAGAAAACTTCACTCTGTTCCATTTATGATTTAACAAAATCAGATGTAGACTGTATGGAAGTTATCTTTGCCTGGCACTACCTCTCTCTTGGTGTAGACACTGTGCGTTTTTATGTGTCAGAATCTTTCGGCTCCTGTCCCTGTTGTCTTCCATCAAAATTCACCTGCATGCACATGGAGTTTTCCAAAGCTCTATGTTTATGTTATGTTTATTCTTGGATGACAAGTATGCCCTTCCTTCCATGGGAGGTCCATTTTCTTTGTAAGTGTGATATAGCTCTTTAGATGGGACAAGGATGCGAAACTACTTGTCTTCCAGTTTTGCTTGGTGTGCTTCTACTCAGTTTTTTTCCTATGGTGGAGATTTTCCACATCATGGCTTTAGCCTTTCTTTTGTGGAAATACTGATGAAGAAACTATTTTTAGAATAATTTGAATTTGCCAGACCTTGCAAAACGTAGGGATTATTTTCATTAAACCAAACGGTTTATTTCATATCTACTCTCCTTCAGTAATGCATGTTGAAGGTCTCTTCTCCCCATGGAATTCTGTTGGAAGAAAGTCAGGCCTAGAAAGTGTTAGAAAACTTCAGGTAGAATAGCAGACTGCTCCAATAAAGACTGAAAGAGTGACATGGGAAGAGAGGATAATATTGTGCAATATTTTCTGGAAAAAGCAAATAAGCAAAGTTTTGCTATAAATAAAAAGAAAACAAAACCAACTGTCTCCCTTCTTTTATTGGCACGGAAAGCTTGTTGTCACTCTCTCTTTCTGTAGGGAAGCATTCAAAATTATGTTATTCTTACCAGAATCATATTGGGTTTATTCATTTTAAACCCCAAATTGTATAACTGGTTTGTTCCATTATTCTGCCTGCCTGCCATGTGCTTGGACATACTGTACACAGTACTCAGATCAGACAGTAGGTTGTGTGTCTGGGCATGCAAGAGGTAGTCAGAAAATTGAGACTCCTTGCACAATTTCCATTAAACATGGTATTTCACAGAAGGATTCTGGACTGTGTTTCCAGTGATGTAGTCAGTACTATCGCCTTTATTTTACAGCATATTTAAGCCAATCCACCTACTCTTACCTATAACAATCTACATTACTGATATATATATATTTTCTTATGAAAAACTTTTCAGTTGTACTTTTCTTTTTGGCTTCTTCTATGGCCTCAACCTCCCCCCCCTCAATTTTTTTATAGCCATGTTTGCTTCTTTCATTCAATCCTTTATCTATTTTTCTGGATTAAAACTGGATGTACTAACCTTGCAGCTCTGTATATATATTTTTTCTTATGAAAAACTTTTCAGTTGTACTTTTCTTTTTGGCTTCTTCTATGGCCTCAACCTCCCCCCCCTCAATTTTTTTATAGCCATGTTTGCTTCTTTCATTCAATCCTTTATCTATTTTTCTGGATTAAAACTGGATGTACTAACCTTGCAGCTATTTGTACAAGGGTGTAGATGAGAACTTTAGTATTTTCCTGTTTGAAAAGAGAACTACACTGTTAGAAGGGGCATAAAAATACATATAACATAATTCCTGTTTCAAGGCAGAACATCCAAATAATACATTTCAATTTGCATCATCATCATCATCATCAGTTCCTCAAGAATAAAATGGAAAAATGAAAACTATCTTAATGGCCTATAGTGAATAAATTGGGGAAGTTCGCATCAAAAGAGGAATATTTAAAGTGGATTATTTGTTACCAATATTGTTTAATGTCTCACTAATGCCCATGTCAATAATTTTAAATAAAACTGGATTGGGCTGCTATATTTCAGAATAAGCAGGAAAAATCAATCATCTGTTCTACATGGATGATCTAAAACTACATGCAGAATATTACATGAGATAGAATCACTGGTAAACACAGTGTGAACATTTAGTGAAGTTATTCAAATGACATTTAGAGTTGACAGATATGCAACTCTGTCTATACAATGTGGCAAGACAAAAACACTAAATAGAATACAGTGGTGCCTCATATAATGAGTGCCCCGTTTAATGACGAATTCGCATAGCGATGGCATACCAATGTTGCCTATGGGGAAAAATTGCTTTGCGATGTTTTCTCCATAGGCACCATTTTCCCCCAGCTGAGCGGCGGGAGCCTCCGAAGGAGTGCTCCCGCAGCTCAGCTGGGGGGAAATGCCTGCGGTGGCCTTGGAAGGACCCTTCCGAAGGGTCCTTCCGAGGCCACCGCCGGGATTCCCCTTCCCCACCGCCGGCTTCTCCCCCCCACCATCAGGAGCAGCGGGAGAAGCCACCCAGCGGGGGGGGGAGATCGGATCGGCTTCTGCCTATCTTCGGAGCAGCCTGGCGGCTCCCAAAAGGCTGCCCCGACTGTGCTTTCAGCAGTGGAGGAGGTGCCCGGTGGAGGAGAAAGGCCAGATCAGCTCTTCCCTTCTCCTCCATCGGGGCAGCCTTTCAGGAGGAGCCGGGCTGTGGGGAACGAAGGCTGAAGCCAACCATGGCTGGGATAGCTGGGCGCGGGGCGGCTCCGGGCATCCGGATCCCTCCCACCCTGCCGCTACCGCTGCTTGGATCCGCGCCGGTCTCCCCCACCGCAGCCAGTCTCGCCCGCCGCTCAGCTGAGGGAGAATGCCGGCGGTGGGCTCAGAAGGACCCTTCGGAAGAGTCCTTCCGAGGCCACCACAGGCATCCCCCCTCGGAGGGGGGATTTTCCCCGAGCTGACCAGGAGCCCCGCTTGTGATATTATAAAATCACTATCAAGTGATGAAAATTACAGATACCTTGGCATACTAGAGTCAGATAACATCCTGCACACAAAAGGTAAAGAACTGACAGAAAAGGAATACAACGAAAGACTGTGGAAAATCTTAACATCATAATTAAATGGTGGAAATACAATCAAAGCCATAAAAACACGGGCAGTTCCATTAATTAGATACCCAGCTGGAATTATTGATTAGACCCAAAATGAATTAGAAGAATTGGATTGAAAAACATGGAAACTAATGAACATGCAGAATTTGCTACAGCCCCAAAGTGATGGAGACGGATTATATTTACCACAAAAATTGGAGGCTGTAGATTACTGCAAATACTGTACAGCAAGTAGTAGATGAAGAAGAAAAAAAAGCCTAAATTATTGTATCAGTACAAGTAGAGAAAATTACTTAAGGCAGTGAAAATGGAGAATATTTTGAAAACAACAGAAACAATGACTCAATAAAAGAAACAACAATTTGAAAAGAAATTAAATAATTGGAACAATAAACCACTACATGAACAGCACCTGAGAAATATTAATGGAAAGCATGGTAATAATTCAACATGGGCATGGCTAAAACTAGGGACCTTTAAGAAATAAATCAAAGGCTTGATTTTTTGCTGCACAAGAACAAGCACACCAAGGAGATGAAAGCTGAGATCCAGGGAATTAGTGCTAACAGCAAATATCAACTCTGCCAAGAAAAAGATGAAACTGTGTCACACCTCATCTGTGAATGTCCAAAGATTGCACAAACAGATTTCAAAATTAGACATGATTGAGTGGCAAAATTAGTGCACTGTTTATTATGTAAAAAACATAAATTGCGGGCCTCTAAAACCCCATTGGAACGTCAGGTAGAGAAGGTATCAGAAAATGACAAAGTTAAGATCTTGTGGGATTTCCAGATCTAAACTGATAGACGCCTTGAACATAACACACCAGACATAGTAGTAACAGAGTGAAGAAATATCTGGATTGTTGACATTGCAATTCCATGGGATGACAGAGTTGAAAAGAAAGAATTGGAAAAACTAACAAAATACAGAGATCTGGCAAAGCATCTTGCTTGTGGATGCAAAATACTTCAGTGTTCCCCATAGTCTTTGGATTTTTGGAGACGATATCAAGAAATTTCACACATTATTATAAAGCAATTGTAGATTTCGAAAATAACACCATCAGAGCTCCAAACCCCGGCAATATTAGGAACACAATACATACACAGTGTGCCGATACTTAACAGATACTTTGGTTTTTGGTTAAAACTTGTATCTGTTATATAACATCAATGTTTTAATAATTTTGATTGTTCCTGGTATTTATAATAACAACAACAACAATCATCATCATCACAATATTTTAATAATTTTGGTTGTTCCTGGTATTTATAACAACAACAACAACAATCATCATCATCATCATCTGATTTGCTTGGCTTGATGTCTTTTTAACCAGGGAGATGCAATAGGAAGCAGGGTTATTTTATTAGTTTGACGAGAGCCTATCTCCATCAGGCTCCTCCCTCAACTCTTATCAGTCACCATTAGCCTGGTCCATTCCAGGAGGTTGTCACAGGGAGAGGTGAAATGGGAAGTTGAACAGTTGCACCAGCTCTACTGAAGAACCAGCCTGAAAGCTACCCCCTCAACTGTCACTGCCATAAACCATTCCTGCTTGATGTAACAGTCTCCTTACTGTCCCACCCCTTTCCTCTGTAGCCCTCTTTCCTTTTGAGGCTTGTTGTTTTAAACTGTAAGTTGTTGTTGGGGGGGATTGTATTTTTTCGTTTTAAAAATAGATTGCAAACTGTTTTAAAATCCTTTTTGGCATTAAAATGGGACAAAAATGTGGTCAGTAATAATAAATGAAAAAGACAGAAGGAATAGACAAAATCAGCAACCTATCCCTGAGGTGAAAATTTTCCCTGACCCCCATATCACCCAAGCTATAAATACTGTATTCCAGGTATCTGTATATGATCAGCAGAGTGCTAAACCTGGATCCAGAGACCATTAGACAGAAGGCAGTTTTTTTTTTCTGTTTTTCCTCTTTGGGCTTTTGATTCCTCTGCTGCTCCTCCATGTTTTCACAATATGATCAGCAGAGTGCTAAACCTGAATCCAGAATTCTGCTAACGGAGAAGGAGACCATTAGACAGAAGGCAGTTTTTTTCTGTTTTTCCTCTTTGGGCTTTTGATTCCTCTGCTGCTCCTCCATGTTTTCACAGTCTTCCATTCCAGAATTTCTTGTTTCAGATTTGGCACTAATATTCTTAACTATAGCAATCAGCATAATTATGCAAAGAGCATTTACAGAATCTTCATATTTCTTCATGTAGAACTTTAATTACTTTTGCAGAGAGCTCTGGGTGTGGGCTGAGAGTACTAAATAGCAAAAATCCAGCCAAATAAGATACGCAGACCATGTATTGTGCTCACATCCTGTATTTTAGATAGAGTATTTACATACTAAACTCGCAATTTCTTTCCTAATTGTTACAAGGAATTCATTGACTTTCCTCCACATCTTGTTTATTCTTCAACATACTGTATTAACAAGTTCTAATTGATATGGCATATGAATGACTGCTGTCAAGAAACAGTTGTACATTATTAATTCCAGTGATTGCATGTCTGGGTTGATGTGCTTGCTTGCCTTTGTGTTGACTGTGTTAAGTGACGTGATAATGTTGACCTTCAAGGTATTGGCAACCTCTACAAAAACAGCATTATGTTTGCCCTGGATTACTGCCACTTCTCTTAAGGAGAACTTCTTTTTCTTACACAGAATCAACATTTGGCCTTGGATTTGTAAAATAATAGATTTGGTTTATGAATGACGCAGGTATTGGGGTTTGACCTGTTGTCTTGTTATTTATTTATTTATTAGCTATATTTATATCCTGCTCTCCTTCACCCCACAAGTTTGGAATGGTTTATGGCTCTGCTTCTCTCCACTTTGTTTTCACAACAACTCTGAGTAGATAAGGCTGAGAGAAGTAGCTGGTCTAAAGTCATCCACTGAATTTCATGGCAAAGTATGGGCTTAAACCTAGATACTGTACAGTATCTCAAATCCTAGTCTACCACTTTAATTACTACACCACATTGCCTCTCTTTCTCCTGCTGGATAGCTGTACTTTTAATTATTATTATGGTTTAATTCCTTTTTATTAATGTGTAATTTATTCTGTTTTTAATTCTACATGTTTTAACATTGTGAGACACCTTGAGACTCCTCATTGGAAGAAAGGAGGCGTATAAAATATATTAACTAACTAGCTAGTGCATCCACAGAATAATGATAATGATGCCTGGTGGAGTACTGAGAGTAGAAGGAATGAAAGAGGGTTAGAGCAGTGGCCCCCAACCTTTTCCCAACCATGGACCAGTTGGGGTTGTGTGCGTCATGCTTGCAGGGGGGTGTCATGCTTGCACGTATGCACAGGGCGCGATCGCGGGAAGGGGGTTAGGAGATCTGTGTCTGTGGCCCGGTCCTGCCTAGGCTGTGGACTGCTGACAGGTCACAGACTGGGGGTTGGGGACCCCTGGGTTAGAGGGAAAATAGATGCAATTGTATTCAGTGCGGCTGGGGGGGGAGAGGAGAGGAGAGGGGGAGATTGGGGTGTGAAGGTAGTGAGATGAAGCTTACAGGGCAAATGAAGGTGCAGTAATGTTGGGCAGCAGAAACTGAGGCTAAGACATGCATGGAAAAGTCTGTAAGGGAAAGTCAATCAAACTAAGCTGACATGGTTAGCAGTACACTGATTCATATTCTTATGAATCATGCATACCCTGTTTTCCCAAACAAAAGACCTAACCTGAAAATAAGCCCTAGTATGATTTTTCAGAATGCTTGCAATATAAGCCCTACCCCAAAAATAAGCCCCAGTTAAGTTAAACCCCACCCTCCACTATTGTGCAGCACAGTACTGTACAGTATTTGAATAACTGTATATGGTTGTACATGAAAAAAATAAAACATCCCCTGAAAATAAGGGGATAAACTCTAATGCGTTTTTGGAGCAAAAATTAATATAAGAACCTGTCTTATTTTTTGTGGAAACACGGTACGGTAGTTTGTCTTTGCCATTTTGAGATATTTCATCTTAGTTTTATAGTATCATGTTTTACAATGCATAGGTTAGAACGATGTGTACTGAAATGTGTGAGTTCAGGTATGCTGCAAATTCTTAAGATCAGATTAATGATGTTAAATAATCATTTATTGTTTTTCTGAAAAAAAAATTATTTGTGTTTCAGGAGTTTCTCTGTGGCCTGTGGTACCGTGTAGAGAAATCAGTGGAAAAACCTTCCAACAATTTAGAATTTTGTTGTTGAAGAGGGCTGTGTTGCCCAGTGGGCAGCAGCCTTGGTTGACCAAGAAGAATGAAAAGGAATGTACCCTTGTATTTTATGGCTCTGTTAGCAGTTGCAGTAATGGGATACTCTTCCAGACGCTCAGCTATGGATTTGGATGCGACTCCCAGAATAACAGTCACTTATAATGGTAAGGCAACACTCTTTAAGTTTCCCTGAACTAAAATTAACGAGACATATCTGCAATGTATCTAAAGAAAAGCTATCTCTTTATCCTATGTATTGTAAGAACATATATGCATCTATGCAAATCCCACACACACTCTCTTTATTGTCTCTGTGGATTTTGTAGGCCTGTTTAAGTGTTTGCAACCCTATTTTTAAAACACCCAGTGGCACCGCTACGGAGTGAAACCTTTGTTGACTGCAGGAAAACTGTGTATTGTCAATGTTTTCCTTAAGTAAGGGAACTGCTGTCCATTGTTTTACTCAATTTTGTCTGCTAGGAATTGGAAAGCTGACATAACTCTTCCTATCCAAAGTCTTGTCTTTGGTATTATTTTCATGGCTCACTATACTGGAGTGGCTAGGGCAGTGGCAGCGAACTCTTTTGATCCCGAGTGCCCAAACTGGGGGCGGGGGGCGGGGAACGGTGACTGGTGGTGGAAATGGAAGGGGGAATCCCGGGCATGGAGGTGCCTCCAGACCCCACTCCGGATTTGCCTCTGTTTCTGCCCAGCTGCTCTGGAACCTGGCCTGCCGCCTGTCGGGGCGCTAGGACTGCTGCTGCAGCTGCCTCTTCAGGTTTGGCACTGGGGGTAGCAATCTGGGGACTTATGGCTCGTGTGCCCGCAGAGAGGGCTCTGCTTGCCTGCTATGGCACGCGTGCCATAGGTTCACCATCTCTGGGCTAGGGGGAGAGCCCTGGAAAATCCAGGGACTCTTTAGCATTGCTTAAAATTACTTTAGCCTCAGATTAACCTCTTGATCCAGTAAGCAAATCCTTGTGTGATGCAAGTTAGAGGACAAACTCTGTGAGCCACCAGTAAACGCTGCTCTGACTTGAGTGGTATAACTAGTAATGTGCAGGAAAGCTGCTTTTGTGAAACCTACATACTCATTAAGAGCAGCCGCTGTTAATGAACTCAAAGGAATATATGGCAAAGCAATTGCCGTCTGTTCTCTAATAATAACCTTATTTTATTCTGCTCTGAAACAGCAGTGGCATGTAGGACAGCCAGGGTACACAAGCAGTTTTTAATTCTTTGATTGCTTTTTGAATAATGCAGACTTGGAAGAGCTGCAAATGTTACTTGAAGACCTTTTCTGCATTTATGATTTAATGCTAGAGTGACAATGATTTTGTCGTTTTGTGCCTGTTCTGTCAGTTTGCACTGTGACAAAATGATGACAGCAACAAGCTGAGCTATTGGTTTTAAAGATTTATGGGGAGTGATGTAATCCTGAATAGGAGTAATTGAGTGGAGGAAATGCTTGGTTATGTAAGATCCTTTCAATTCTACTTTTTAGGTTGTGGCTGTGAATCAAGGCATTAACTCTTTCTTGACTTCCACTTTAAAGATTTGTTTAACTTCCTCCAAATGTGATATGGGCAACATGGCAACACAATTTCTGTTGATTTCTGATGTCTAACCATATTCAACTGATATTCTAATGGTAAAATGCTGACTTTCTCCTGTCTCCTCACCTCTGTGATATTTGCAAAGGATGGTCCTCCTAAACGACAGACAGGAGACTGGAAAATGCTTTACATTTACCCATCCATCTCCTTTTCCATGATGAAGAGAATGCTGGAAAGGAAAAAGCACAATGAAGAGATATGTGTATATGCTACTTGGTGGGTGGCATGAGATAGAATAAAACCTGGAGGGGGGGGGAAATCACTGCTATGTTATTGGATGGCAGTGATGGCAGTGGTGTGCTCACGGTTTTATCAATGGTATTCTTATGACAACAAAGGGCATAGCATTCTTGAAAGTCTTAAGTCAGGCCCCGGTCCTCAGGTTCCACTCATCTTTCCTTGTCTGTTTAATATAGAAGAGGGATACAGGGAAAACTTGCTTTGAGAGCCGTGTGAGAGCTGCCACTGATTATTATATGCCAGATTGGAGCTGTCAGTACTGCCGTCGTTTGCCTCAACATGCATGTCTGATTACATCAGCTTCTTGGAGAATGTGTTCCAGTTTCTCTAGAAACCCCAAGGCGTTTTGAACACATGATCACAAGTTTATTCAGGAGGGCAAGAGAAAGTGGGGGAGGAGTTGAAGAATTTCCTTCTCTTTGCCTCTGTGATCTTGTACGCAGAGCAATTGTCTTGGCTGACTGTGTGCAGCTTCTGGATTCTTAAGATGTATTAGCCAGTCCCACCACCCAGGTTGCTTAGTAATGCTTAGGCTTTGAATCACGCTCCTTCCTCAGTGGGGCAGGAGAGAGAGAGAACATGAGAACAAAACGTCTCTATAATTTATCCTAATTGCAAGATCAGCATTCTGAGATGCTGTTTCAGGAAGCAGGCTGGTGGTCCTGCCAAAGGTACTGAATTAGGGACATGTTTTATGCACAGCATATTTTGGACAGTTTTTGTGCCATTGCCAGAGTTGGAGCTTTGGGCAAGTTCTGGGATAGTGGAGGTGACTACGACAGTGGAGGAATTGGTATTAACAACAACAGTTCACAGAGAAGGAGAAAGAAGTGTGTAAGCCACATACTTATACCTCTTTCCTAGCTACTACTGTTTTTGCCTTCTTACTGAGCAGACCATTTCCAGCATACTTTTATGCCTTCATGTGCTTCCATTTTGGCTAGATGATTGTTTGGAAACAATACGTTAAAAGAAAAACCCTTGTTCATAAGATTTCAAATTCTGAATAAAAATTGTTCCTGTCTATGCTATAGCTCTATTTGAGGATTGCAAATTTAGCTGTTTTTCAGTTGTTGAGGAGAACAAACACAATTTAATAGTTGAGCTTTTAATAGGATTGCAAATTTAGCTGTTTTTCAGTTGTTTTTGAGGACTGTGATACATTTTATAAATGTTTTAACACCGGATTTCATGGGTGAAGGACAACAACGTAATCTGGAGCGACAAATAGATTAATGTAGACAAGGACTAAATGGCCCGAAGTTAAAAGTAGAATAAATATGAACATTAACAATAAATGAACTTAAGGCAATGAACCATCAAATTCTCCTATTTTTTTCCAGTGACTTTTAGTATCCCACTAAGGAGGGCCCCCTTTCTGAAAACAACCTCTCATTAATATGTGATTGCTTTACTGAAGATTTAAGAAGTTTGCTCTGTATCCTTCCTCTGAGTTGTTCAGATTCTTTTGACTTTTCTTAGAGGATTGTGGCACTTAAGGAAACAGTCAGGTTTAGAAGGTTTTTGAGATTTTTGTTCAAGGGAATTCTGTTAGTGCCAAAAGCCATTGAAAATAATTCAGAGAATTTAGCTTCTCACTGGAGTACCATGGTGTCCATGTAGTATGGTCAATCTTTTGCTCCAATTAAGGCTCTGTATTTGTTGTCAGAATCTAGACTCTGCATTTCTTGTCAGACTGTCTGGTTTCCAGGTTGCTCCAATAATTTATTTAAAGGGCAACTGTTTGTTTCAGGCAACTGAAAATCCAGCCATGCAGAGTTAGTAGTCACACAATTCAGATAACACATGAATTAACCCTTCAACTAATTGTGTTCCTGGCAATTACCCATTTTCTATCCTTCCCTCTGTTAACTACCCAGAACAATGCAAGCAGAGCTGTAGGCTGTCTTTTAGGTGGCTGCTTATTATTAAACTTACGGAAGCAGGAAGCCTTGTTGATGAACTACAAATCATATAGAAAACTACCAGGAGAGCCCAGCCTGCCTCCAAGTTCATCATGACCACTTTTCTGTCTCAGACTTCCTATCGGGGTCTGATGCTTGCCAGGTTCCAGGTACGTATGTTAAAATGTATATATTTGGAAACTTGCATCTCAGTGAAAAATGGATGGGGAAACAGCTTGAGAAATGTAGTGCAATGAAGTCCTGTCTAAACAGTGGTCTGAAGTAATGGTAAGATCTAAGGAAATAAAGAGCTCTGAACATGAAATAATAAGTGAGGATACACCATGGGGTGGGGAGTGGTGGATATGTGCATGCTTAGAATGTACCCTTCTATCAACAGAAAAGTGCATAGGTTCATGTAGTTTGTACAGCCACCCTGGAATCTCCGTGGGCTTGATTAGTAGAATAGGAGAGACTTTATGTGAAACTGCATAGACTCCAGAGGCACGTTGTTGGGCTTGAGTCCCAGATAGATCAGGGAGTTGGCCATCTTTTCCTCCTAGCCTAAGACCAGTGCTTGGAAATGATGCTTTTTGGGGTTACATTTTCCAGAATTTCCTGATCACAAGACCTATCATTCATGCTGGCTGTGGAATTCTGACGGAATCTTAAAAAGTAGATTTCCAAGGTCTGCCTAAGATATGTGAGAGAAATGCTAGTTAGAGGCAATATATGCTGAGTGCTAATGTTCTGTTTCAGGAATTTGATGGTGATGGTCACTCATTCTGTCAGCTTGCTATAAATGGATGCTTTCCTTCTGCAGCAAGTGCATGCATGTTACCTATGACTGCTTGACAGTTGTAGCATTCTTAAGCTAGTGCATACAAGCAAAGAACAGAGCAGAATTTGGAGGAGGTAGTGAATGACCTGTGGCCCCCTTTGTTCGGAGAACTGAAATTCAAACCACAACTGCCTCAGTGGTAACTTTAAAACAGCTTTCTGACTCATTTAAGACAGAGAGGTCCCTGGCAAAATTGATCTGGCCAAGAACTTTACATCTAAGACTAACCTCCTGGCTAACCCCATCTTGCCACAAATGTTTGGACTTTTGGTAATTGCTTTGAAGAAATCTTGCATAGCGAGTGATTTGTTATTTTTTTTCTTAGTGAAGAAAACGGTATCACTTATTCTTGCATTGCTGAACAAAGAAGAATCCCTCCAAAACACCACCACAAGCACTGGTATAGCTGGGGTTAAACTGGTTGAGAAGCTCCACATTTTCCATGCTCTCTTCCCCATTTCCAGCTCGTTGTTGTTGTTGTTGTTGTTGTTTAATTGGAGTAGCCCGAGTTCTTTAGCTTCCCCTTGGTTTGCCTTGTGCAACAAGTGAATGTGGGGGGTCTG